TTTTTGCAGGAATGGCACCATACCTGGGCCAGGAAATCACTTGGCCAAGGTAGAGGCTGTTGCTCCACTGCACACATACAGGGGATGAGAGAATGTCACTCTGGGCACCACCACAGGCAGCGGTGTTAGGAACATGCTGGGGAGCGAAAAGGAGGCCCCTGAATTCTGGTACCTGCAAAGTATCTCAGGTAGGCAATCCAGAGAAGTGTGGTGCCATGGCACAGCTTGGAGTACACTTAGACATGGTCACTGCTTTGACTGCTGGGTAGACCATTCCTCCCAAGTCAGCTTTTAAATAGAGTTAGAAGTAAGAAACTGCCCGACTACTTGGCCTACTTTTGGGCAGCCCAAGCCAAGTGCCGAGCTGCTGCAGTATGCCTGCACTAGCAACTCCTCAGCAAAGGCTGAGACACCCCGACTCTCTATATACTCTGCTTACCCCAAGAGCTGGGTGCAGGGCTAGGTGATAGCTCCTCTTGAGGCTCCACAGCTGCATCCTGCCCTTCCAAAGGGAATTAAAGTATTGAAGCTCCAGACACATCCTCCACATAAAATTCTGGTCTTCATAAATATGCTAGCAAGTCACTTTTAGCACACTACTGAGCCACCTTACTATTGTAGTCAACAGATTTTGGCAGGCATCTCATGGGATTTTAAAGCTGTAGTTATCCATTACTAAAAAAAAATAGTTGCCTAGATTGTTGTTAAAAAAGCAAAATGAAAAGATGAGTACCACAGTGAACCGTGGAACACTCCATCCTACAGCTTCACAGGTATCCAGAAAGGCACCGGCATATGATAAGCTGTTTCCAGGACTGCAAAAATTACCGAAGATCCTCACATTTAATGCTTTAGATCAATTAGGAAGCTAATAACCCAATGTCACTTTGACTTAGATTCAGCAAGAAAAAGAGAGGAATTAATGTCTGATGAATGGAAAAGAATAGATGTAATGGAGATAGAAATGTTTCTTTCAACAAGCTTAAACACCATTGTTACAACATACTTCTCCATTGATGTTAGGTTGGCACAAAACAATTAAAAAGTAGAGGAAAGAAAATTACAGACCTCAAATGGATCAGCACAAGGAACTGCTTCCTTCTTGGAGAACATGAAGTGCGAGGACAAAAATGTCCTTGGAGTTTTTTCAAGGCATCCAAATTCCCAGCATGCCCATACATTTCTTGAATACCATTAAACCCCTAGCAAGCTTAAGGGTACCAATGCACTTTGTCCCTTTCATAGCTTTTGCCCAGAGCCAGATCATCTCAACATGCCTTTGATATACTAGAAGGGCCAACACATAAGCACACCCCACAAGAGACATCTGGGATGGCTGAAAGGAAAATAGCCACTTTCTAGTTGAGGTTGTGTGTTAGTGACTTTCATGACCATGTATGTCACTGTCACAGTAAAGACAAAGACAAAAATGAGCAAAAGTGGCCATTAAATACTACTTAAACAAACCTCCCACAACCACACCACCAGAACAACCATGCACCTCATCTATTCATCCACACCAGCACCAGTTTTTCAAATACAGCTGGGAAGATCAATGGCAAAAAAACATCAATTTTGTTCTATTTTCTTTATATCCATGGTGCTTCTGTATGACAGTCCTCATGTGGCTTGGGACATCTCATGTAGTCCGAATCCAGGCTACAGCACCATAAGTTGAGACTGAGCAATTCTACTGCTGCTGGGGGGAAAAGCAAGGGTTACAGGTGTCAGTAAAAGCTTCTACAAGCATCTTAAACTGCTAAAACACAGACAAGATATCATATGAAATGGTGAAAGAGCCACTGGAGTCTGAGGCCTGTTTTTTGACAAGCAAAATTTGCCTTGAACTCCTGCCTTATATGAATCAGCCTCGCACCTCACAATATTGAGGGATACTATAATTAGTGAGAAATGTAGGACATCATCATGCCTTGGATAACATATAACGATACCTCTAGCATTGAAACATGAAATAATAAGAGTAACCAATGCTATTAAATAATAAAAGTTTATTTTATCAACATTATAAATATTTTCTTTCCCTCCGTTTAACTCCAAAATGAGATTGTAAAACCAGTACAATGGAACAATTCAGGAGCTCCTCAGTTCTACTGAAAAGGGTTACCTTTAATAACAAATTAAAATTGAAAATGACATTTGTCAGTCCAGCAACCTCAGTAGCTGAGCATCCCTAGATACTTTGTCATTCAAATGGCACAATTCTAAGTGTGCGTGCATATATATATGTGTGCATCTATATATATGTGCATAATGATATTTATAAATATACATATATATAGTTATATACACACATAAGTAGACACAGCCACTGAACAGACACTTTTAGTGAATCAAAATGTTTTACATGTAATTTAAGTGAGTTCCCAGCTGCACACTGAAGTTTGGACCCTGCACAATGCAGGTACAATGATACTGTGCTAAGCTAGACCCCAAGTGCCCAGGAGATTCAATACGTACATGTCACCTTTAACTGCTGCGGAGTCTGCCTACTTCTGGTGGCTGTCCAAAATCAAGAATTCCGTTGCACTTGAAAAGCAGTGAGGAATAATCCTGCAGTATCCCAGCCCCAAACTCCTTCCCTCAGTGAACCAACTTCTGATATCCCTGGCCATGTGAGTCATTGCAGAAAACAATATACATGCTCCGTTATCTACAAATACAATACTTCGCCAGTATCTAATGCATTATGTGTGCAGTGCTTTGGGACACCTCGAATATTAAAGGCACTACATGCAGCCAGCTCCTGTCTTATCTCCAATGCTGGAGTTTATTTTCATCATACAGTAACTGCCTCCTACTGAGCACACAGTGTGGGCAGCTTTCCAGAGGCACAACAGGCTCCCTCTGATCATAGCATCATGGCCCAGCTGCCAGTGAAAAAGGAAAGACAGACTCTCTCATGTGCTCTAAGCTCCTTTGAACAGTCCAAATGGCACAAAGGAGCTCAGGAAACCTGCCATCCTGCCAAGCTGCTCCACAGCCAGCCTCTGCTGCAGCCACCCCCCAGGCGTGAAGTATGTCTCACCAAGAGGAGGACCATCGGGGGACAGAGACGGACCAGAACCCAGCTCCTTTCTCATAATTCATATGTGGCCTCTGAACACTACCTGTGATTAGATCAAGACTTTACTGCTTCACGGGACTAAAGGACCAGGGAGCTGCAATGGGCTCACTGACCATCCTCTGCTCAGGCACCCATCTGGCCTCAGCACAGGACAGAACCAAGCCTCTGGTGTCATAGAAGCTTCCTCCATTTCTCACATCAGTAAAACAAAGCAAAAAGATAAAACTACTACTAATATAATTCTTATTTTCATCAAATATATAGAAATATTATAGCAACGTCTTTCCTCACAGCTGGGAAATGATGCAAGGCCTACCATGAAACCACAGTGTGAGGATCTTCCTTGTGGAAATTTCACATACACCAAAATTATACTCTGATTTTTTATTTTAACAGTTGCCAAATTCTGTTCTAATATATACACATACTGACCTTTGCCACAAGCCCTTAGATGATTATTAAGGGAAGGAATTTGGCTTTCATATTTTATTTTTTAAACAAGAAAGGTTAAGACACAAAATAAGACAAAATACATTTCATGTCACCATTGATCTATAGGTTACAAATATATATAGTTTCCTTCCAGAGGAAGAAATACTAAAGAAATATTTTGCTCATATCAAATGAACTTTTGAAAACAGAAAAAAATTTAAAATATATTTTTTGGCTCCTACCTCTCTGCCACAGTGATCACACTTGGGTTTAAAAAACAAAAACAAAACAAAAAAGTCACATTCATTTAGTTTCCACAACTTCCACCAAGGAAGATAAACTTATCTGAATAATGACCTGAGTTATTTTCATGATTTCCAAACTGCATGTAATCCCAATGATCACCATCTACTAGAGACCTACACGTAGCAAGGTGTGTGAAAACAAACATCGGTGGATCTTCCAAAGCAAACAGCAATGGAAAATTCAAAAATCTATTGCAAGAATTATGCCAAAAGTGGGCCATGAGCATCTTCATGGGAACTGATCAGAGAAAGTAGAAATGGAAGCTCTGCTATTTCTGTCAGCTGAATTGTCTGTAGTGACTAAAAACCTGAAGGTGAACATGCTGTGTATGCCTGTGTGTGTTTTTGCTTTCTCTTCTTTTGTGGTTGTAATCTTTGAGCTAAGACAGAACAGATGAGTACAAAAGATAAAGGTGGCCTTACAGTGGCTAAGCAACCTTAAGGTTCTGAGCCTATAGTGGGTAACAAGGCAAAGAGCTGCCACTTGTCCTTGGGATAGACTCTCTGAAACTTTGTTCCCTTGGGGAATTGGATAGCTTACAGGTTCATCCAATGAAGGTTTTCCTGTTCCCGTCGTGACCGGAGCAGTGCTTGCTTGTTTGTTGATGGCAGCAAGCTTAGACTGACTGCTGATGTTCTAGATTTCCTTCCTACCTCTGGCCGTAATGCAAAGGGGACTGGGTCCATAAGTCAGTCTATTAGAACGCCCTCCATCTTGCAGAGATCTCTCCCCAGTGTAAAACCTATCTTTCCAAAAGTAAAAAAAATGGCTATGAACTTTTAGGCAGGCCTGAAACCTGAGTAGAATCAGGTCAGTCGTTATACGTGCAATGGTGGTGTGAGAAACCTTACTGGTAACTTTCTGTTCTGCCATACAATATGGTTTATCCCATATAACTCCTTTCCATACAAATTACTACCTCATGAGGATACCACCATAACCGTACACCGAGCAACAGTGAGGAGATTAGGTTTTATTACGGCTGTAAATCTAAATGTGCCCCACACCCTGGGAAACAAGGCAATAGGCAGAGTCCTCTGCAAAAGTGAGAAAACTCCCCTGTGATTGAGCACTGAGGACACAGCTTCTGAGAGGACAGCAAGGGAGGGAATGCAGCCGATAAAAACATTGGGTTTTTCCTAAGGGCATCCAGAGCTCCTCAAATTTTTTTGCTACTGCCTGACCATTTGTGAAGACTTAACACGGAGATAACAGGTACTATTTAACTGATGAGAAGTGAGGGGAATGGGAGAATAAAAGGAATGCAGGAAACTGTAGGGATGGGTGTTTTAATGTACCAGTTAGTTTGGCAGTTAGTTTGGTTCCCCCACATCCTTTTTTCTCTTTCCTTTTTTTTTTATTTTTTTTTAAATAAATTTTAGAGATGAACAGGGAAGAAGTTCATGCTACTTGCTGGAAGCAATAAAGGTAAATTTCCGTGGCCCATGGATTCCACAGACCTTTGAGTGTCCCGCCTCATCCATCATGGGCTAACTTACGGAACCTAACTGTTCCATGGCAAGACCCAGTAGCCCTTAGAAACTGGTGGCATGTCCTCAGGTATTTTCCACAAGAGTGAGAGACACGTTGATTCCATCAGCTTCTTCATCACACGATGCCTGAGTGCCTCAGGTGCAGCCTTGTGATTTCCAAGAATCCTTTTTGACATTTTCAGACATCAGACTGCTGTCTCCAGATCCTCGTGGGAAACCATTTGGTAGTTTTGTCGACTGTCCAGGTAGGAGGCCAGATCTGGGTCACCAGCTTGCTGAGCCCTGTCACGAGGGGTCTTACCCTATAACAGAGAAATATGAAGAGAAAGTCTTGTGCTAACATATTTAGAACATATGAAAGCACAGCTCAGAGAAATTACTACAGGAAGGATAGAAGCGAATTTGGAGAATTTACTTAGTTGTTGTACAAGTTGGTGTTAATTTTTTCTGTCAGTGTCATGAGATTCTGAAGATTTTTAAAGTCCTTGTGTGGTTTAAGACAAATCATGCAGTTCTGCAAGGACCTGCTATTTGTTATATCACACAGAAGGGCTCACATACTGTAAGGAAATTATTTTTCATTCTAGGGCTACAATCCCTGCGTGAATGAATATGACACGCAGTACTGTAGCTGACACTTGAAAAGTGTGCTTCACAGACTACATACTTTGCTAAGGATGTGCAGGGACAGTTGCCCAACTTGACATGAGTTCAACATGTCTCCTTCTATCTCAAGTACAAATAGTTTTTCAGTGCATCAATTTGATACTCCATTACCTGAGCTAGCTTACAAGTACTGTTAACCTGGACCACAAGTCTCAATCCTAAACTATGAAAAAATATTGGAAACACATTACTATATCTCCGCAAAAACACACCTGCTCCTTGGATTTCTGGGCACATGAAGATTAACAAGTCAGAAGCCACTTGTCTGGATTTCAGTTGTTGCAGAAATTATCTTTTGCAACAAATAGTACTCTCATCTGAAAAAGAGATGAACTCTCTCCCCCTAATAGGCTGTTCTATACAGCATAACATGGTAGGAATTTTTTTTTTTTAATTGTCTTGCTGCAGCAAAGGTGCTTCTGACTCTGAAACCCAGAGATCCAACCACCTCTCAAGCTGCTGACCACAGGATGATCATGTTCAGAGATGCCAGGGGGCAGCTTGTGGACCATGTTCTTAAGTGATCAGGTTTTTGTATTGACAGAATATTCCTAGGGTTTCATTTTGCCCAGACTTCTTTCTCAGCCAAGCGTACACCATGAGAGGGTTGTGGTTAGTGTCACATCAGTGAACACAGGGGCAAGCGAGGGCAAAAGAAAATGGTTAGCCATCCTCACAAAGCAAGTCAGCCACAATAATCAAGCCTCACAGATGCTATGCAATCACAAACCAAGGCTTCCACAGGTGGTCCCTGCCCACAGGCCTCTTTTGACCACACAGGAGGAGGATGCTGCTGTGCCATGGAGATGCCTCATTCACACCCAACGCACCAAATAGTTTGAGGTCAGGCTCTCACTATGAAGATGACCCACGTTGAGGACTGAAAGTCTCTTGTACTTGTTTAAATCAATAAAGTTTTCTAAATCAAAATAGCTTTGTTTAAATAGAGCTGCTCTTGGTACACACAAGGAAGCCTCCATCAGGCAAACAGCAGGGATGGATGCTGACCGGTGTCACTTGGCTGCAGTATTTTATAACTGGTTGAGGAGGCTGGGTTACCTTGGAGTCTGTCTTTCTCAGAGAGGCTCCCGCATCCACCAGGAGCTGGCAGACGGCACGATGGCGCTGGCAGGCTGCCTTATGTAATGCTGTCTCACCCCTAGACCAAAGTACAGAAACCAGCAGTGAGACACATCACACCAATGTACATTTAAAAAGTATGAGGTGCAGAAGACAGAAGGATGCTGTATTTCTGTGAGATTCCCTTTTGTGGGCAGAGGTAGACTTGTGCATTCTCTCCCTTAGCATCTACATCCTTTGACTCAGTAAGAAAGCCTGCAATGCATAAATAGCAAAGAACTCCTGCGGGGTGGGAAAGAAACATGCACAGGTTTTATGGATTCAGTGGACTGGATGTCACATTCTCATGCAACCACCAGTTCTGCTAACTGCTGCAAAGCCAACTAGTTATCTTCTTATTTCATAGCAGGTAAAACAGCAACAGTGTCTGTTTCTTCCTGCAATTTCTTTCCTCAACCTCATTCTTGGACACATCCTAAAAAAATCCTGCCCACCAAAGCCATGACTGGTGCACTTGCTGCCCAGGTTCTGATACTATGCTGTCTTGGGTGTAGGGGAGCAAGAGCTGTGTTTTTGTTTCCCACCACTGGACTGGTGAGCTTCTGGGGAAATTTGAACACGTGCTTTTCAAAAGAGAAGGCTGTGTAGTGGGAGCAGATTTATTTGCAAAGCTCCTCACTCAGACTGGGGCTATGTGTAACAGGATTCTGAGACTGACTGTAGTACCAAAGTTAAAGAAATCCATCTAGATTTGCCTAGGAAGAGGAGGAAAGTATTATTTGAGTGGGTTGGGAAGGTTTCCTTAATACTAGTGTTCAACAAGTAGGGCCATTACATAACCTCCAAAACAACGAATTACAAGAAATGCGCATAGTAGGACAAATCTTGAACCTACCTACCCAGAAAGTGAGAGTGCATAAAGGAATTTCAGCCTCATTCCACAACAGGGCAACTTGAAATATTAATAGGCATCTGCGTCTGCTGCATGAGAACTAGATTCAGAATAGGATACTATCTGATTTCCCCTTGAGGATCAAAAGACAAATTCATGTTGCCAGTTAGGGCTTGAACCTTCCCTTCTCAAGAGTTAGCAGTAGAGGGACCTCTGTAAAGGGATGCCCTCATAGCCATGTTCACGTGCACTTTATTTCAGTGCCTGTACTATGCTACTGGATGAAGAGAAACGGGCAGTCCATCCAAACTCAATCACCTCTGGACTGCACACACACACCTTGTGCAGAACCTTTCTGGTCAGCAGGTGAGGGCACTGTGGGATGTGGAATGGTAGGTTTAAGCCCTGTAAGAAAGGTGACTTTTGCTTCCCATTTATTCCATATACTTCCCAGGATTATTCATGTTTCCCTTACATACTCTTTGTGATGCCTTGATTATACAAGACATAGAGCAGTTGAGAATTGGAAAGTAAAGTTTGGGGGGTTTTGTGGGGTTTTTTTGTGTGGTTTATTCTGGGGCTTTTTGTGGGGTTTTATTTGGTTTGTTTGTTTGTTTTTATAATAACAGAGGTGATTGAGGTTCTAACTACTTGAAAGAAATCTTCAACTGCACAGGTTGTGGCCACTTGGGACAGCTAAGCCAGAGCACCTTGGATGAATCAAGAAGGGACTGAAGAAAAGGTGCAGAGCAAGAAAAGTAATTTCCTGACTTCTGGATTTACTCCTTAGGTTGGTCCCTCAGTAACTGGATGCCAGAAATATCGAAGCACAATACAGGACTTGTATTCCTCTAGAAAGATTAAGGAGGTGTGGGAAGCCATAGGGAGGAAGTCCTTTGTGGAATTCAAGAAACATTTGGTTTAGGTCAGAAAGCCACATATGAGTTAGTTGTTGTGTGGGCTTAAGGGGACTTTTGTTTGCTTGTTTGTTTTTGAAGAGCTGTGCCATTTTACAAGCTTTTTTACTTGAAAGTTTGCACTTGCAAAACAAGGAAAGTCTGCTAGGCTAACGCACATAATGTGAAGGGCAGGGTAGGTTGTACTTACGTTTCACTGTCTGTCATGTCCAGTAATTCAGATGGACCTGCAAAAGACAGTCAGGTATGTCATATAGCATTTATCCACTTGATGAAAAGTATGACGACCAGGAGAAGATTCCTGGTGCAAATATGTAAGAGAAGTCAATTGAAAGCTCAATTTGCATAAATATGCCAAACTTCAAGGTAATATTTGCTTGTGTGAGCCCTTGCACTAGCAAAATTCTGAATGCACAGTCACTGCTGGAGTGTCAGCACCAGGGAGAAGCAGCCTCTAAATTATACTAGGAATGAATATTCATAGAGTTTATTTTCTCACTCTTCACCTTGCTCAATTAAGTGGTTCACATAAGTACAGTGCATTGAAAATGCTGATATACTGGAAACTCTGATATACGGCAAGTTAAAATCTGTTGTTAGTACTAGAGGAAAAATGTCATTAGGAAGTTGAAATTAGCCAGATTCTGTCCTGAATGACAACCCTGTGCTACTCTATTTAGTAGACTTATACAGAATGTAGATCAGGGTGGAATATTCCCAGCAGTCTTTATATTGATATGCAAATTCTGTACTCTGCTGGTTAGCAATGATCAGAAAAGTAAGATTAAGAAAAACAGAAAAGATTTTTGTTAAGTGGGACAAAATAATACATTTATGCTAATGTTCTTTTGTCCTTGATACTCACTACAGGCAGATGTTTATAGCAGCAAATTCCATCACTGAATTACAGTGATATGGAAAGGCTAGGATCTGGATAGCATTTGAAATGAGAAAAACTTTTCCCTTTGCAGTCTGCCTTAATATTCTTCTCTCCACTGCTCTGAAGCATGGTGCCAGATGGTATGGGGCAGTTAGCAAGGGGAACAGTGCAACTTTACAGGAATTTTCCAACCTGTGCATGAATGTTTCTCTTCAGCACACTTGGACTTTGAAATGCAAGAGTCCTCAAGGGTCTACAGCAAATCTCACCTGAAACTGAGGAATTTCACACTACTTGCTTACAAAGGCCTACACACAACCACTCCACACTTCTTTCACTCTGAGTGTGTGTCAAAATGGATGACAGCAGCTTGTCTCTCCCTCACTCCTTTTACAACACACATATGCAGTATCATTGGGGCAGCTGGTTGCCTCGGCTCCTGGGGCAGCAAGTAGAGCCTTCACTTCATCTTCTGTCATCATGAGAAAGGGGTGGTCAAAAAAGTGCCATGCGCAGTCCCCAGTGCACACGGTGTAGCATACCTATCACGGCAGTTCTCCAAACTCATTAGCCACTTTCAATTTTTAAAGCACAGCACCCTGACTCTGTTGCCACACATCTTCATTGCTGCACTTGGCAGTTACGCGTTCACTCCTCCCTATCAAAAAGAAGAATCACTCATGACCCTGAGCTCCTATGAGTATGAAAAAGGATACAGGGGGCTAAGCAGGGCTCCTTGGTGAGAGGAAAGAAAGATAACCCCTGAGAAACTAAACAAAAAAAAACCAAACAAAAAAACCACCACAGATGAAGAAAAAGATTCCTTTACATCTCCCAGGAGAAAATCATGTTCTCTCAAAAACAGAGGCAATTCACCATGGCTTGTTGCAATGCCATGTCCCAGTGATAGGTAACCAGGAATAGCTTGCAGTATATTAATAAAGGCACTGCCAAGTAAACTATCTGTTCATGGATCAAGCAAGGAAGGTCATGATGAAATTATGGAACAGAGTGATTGGGCTGGTTGCATTGGGCATAGAGGTACTTGCCCTGGTAAATGGAGGAGAATAGAAAAAGGTATTAAAACATTAGAAGGAAGGGTGGAAAGAAGTTAGAAGAACATGACTTGAGAAGGAGGAGAAACTGGGGCAGAGTAGGCCTGGAGAGCTGGGAAGCCAAGGGTGAAGCACAACTAGTCTGGAGCAGGAAGAAGCAGGAAAGCTAGTACAGAGGAGCTGAGTGCTGAGCAGGCAGCCTGTGAAGGGTGCTCTCCTGGGTACTATCCCAAATAAAGCATTTAATGGGAGTGCCCCAACTCCACCCCAGTTATACATAAGGGCCAGATATTGGGGTTAATTGATTCGCAGCACAACATGGTACCAGGACTCATTCATTTCATTCTTTCTGGCCTATCTCTGAAGCTAGAATGTCCCAACTCACACACAGCCTGAGCTGTGCCCTTTACTTCTTTATTTTATTTCCACTTGTGCTTCTCTTAAACCATCTCACGCCCTCTTCCTAATTCCCTTTCCCCTCTTTTTTGGACCTCATTTTTACATCAGTCTCCCTGGCGCTGCCAACCGACCATTCCAAATCCCCCTCTGCCCCAGGACAAAAGCTGCACAGATGTGGGAAGGGCTGGCACTGGGAAATCTAACGGCACTGTCATCCTGACCCAGCAGGGAGGCGGCTGTTTTACTTGGGGACAAGAGGCAGAGAAAGAAAAGGGGACCAAGGCAGAGAGACAGAAAGGACAAAATAACCCAATAGAAATCCGGAAGGGAAATGCATGAGTGAGATTTCTATCAAGGAAAACAGCAGGGGGGGAAATAAAAACAAAAGATAGAAATGTGTGGAGAGGTGGAGGGAGGAAAGAAAAAGAGAGAGAAAAAGAGAGTGCAACTCAGGGGCTAAAGAATGGCAGGATGGGGACAAGGGGGGAGAAGTTCGCATGAAAGGAGCTGAAAAGCATGACGCACTGAGGGGAAGCCCAGCTGAGATCACTTTCTTTCCTTAACATCTCCAATAGACTGTCTGTGTAGAATTATTAACTTTTTTCCTTCTTTCCTTCTTCCCCCTTTCACTCCACCAAAGCCCCTCTCCAGTTTCTCAGGAGGCAAAGCAGCCTAAGCTGGGGATGGGAGGAGGGAAGGGAAGGAGATGCTCAAAAAGCAGCTGCCCTTTAGCTGAGCTCACTACAACATAAAAGAGAGACTAAATGACCATATTTCAGAGGCATTTCCAAAATATACAGCACCATGCAGTCTGAAAGGCCTCCAGGCCAGCGACGCACCCTGCCCTCTCCAGTGGATGTGGTTACAGCTACCCACAGGAGACACAGCTATTAACCCCTGCCAGTCCCTTCTCCTGCCAGTCCCTTCTCCGGTCAGTCCTTCACAGAACTGGGGAAGAAGGGTACTGCTTTAAGCAGTCATGTCGAATATTATCAGCATTTCTGGATGTTTATCTCTCAAAACCCTCTTTGTCTAATAACTTGATTGTGGTTGTTATTTGGGGGAAAAAAACTGGATTTGGTTCCTTACTATTATTTTTTAAATATTTACTCTTTGGAGGCAATCTGCAAAGTCAGAACTATTTCAAGCCTTCCCCTAACTCCACATTTCTCATTTTTACCCAATGTGAAGATTAACAGTGTCTGTTTTTTACTGCTAGTGTCTTTTACCTCAGAATTTCCATTGTAACATAGAGGGTAGTCGGGTTATGGGAGCATGCCTTCCATCATACCAGTCTCTCAGTCATGTTGACCTAAAATTTGGTAAATTTGGAAATTAAAATAGACTATACCTTTGCCTTCTAGGAAAACTAAGCTGTTTTCTGCTTAGGTCCCTCCACAAATGTCCAATACCCTAAAAAATTCTGCATATCTAGACATACTAGCATATGTCAGGCAAACTCACTCTCCTTCGGTGTTACTTTCAGATGGCTAGTCACACTTTGTCCCTGACATACATCTCTGCCATGGAAAAATTTGCTTTCCAAAAGCCTTCTTTGGAACTCCTAAATCTGATCAGGATGCAAATCCAAACTTACTGGTGGCTCTTCATTGTTGACTTTGCAGTGCTAAGAGTAACAAAAGCATAATCATTTTATACCAGAGGTTGTTACATAATGGACCAACGACATTAAGGTTCGAGGTCACAGAAATGTTCAGGATGGAATGCTTTACTGACTGACTGTTCCATCAGTTCCCACCACAAACTCCTAAGGCAACTGTAAACATCTCTCCTCGCTTCTGTTTAAAATTAAAATACCCTAGGATGAACTACAGAATTCTTTTTTGTCTTGAGCCTCTAGAGAAGAGAAGACAAGGAGAAGGCAACCCTTAGAATGTCTTGTATACTGGTTATAAATTATAAATAGTTCAGAAGTGCCAGATAAATAGAATCATTAAGGTTGGAAAAGACCTCTAAGATCATCAAGTCCAACCATAAACCCAACACCACCATGCCCATTAAACCATGTCCTGAAGTGCCATGTCTACATGTTTTTTGAACCCCTCTGGGGATGGTGACTCCACCATTTCCCTGGGCAGCCTGTTCCAATGCTTGACCACTCTTTCAGTAAAGAAATTTTTCTTCATATCCAATCTAAACCTCCCCCAGTGCAACTTGAGGCTATTTCCTCTTGTCTTATCACTAGCTGCTTGAGAGAAGAAACCAACATCCACCTCACTAGAACCTCCTTTCAGGTAGTTGTAGAGAGCAATAAGTCTCCCCTCAGCCTCCTTTTCTCCAGGCTAAACAACCCCAGTTCCCTCAAGCCAAGTTTAATTCCAAATACAGATGATGATTTAGGAGATCCTTTTTCTAATGGAGGAAAGCCTTCCCTGATTCTGTTTATGTTAGGCAAATAAACAGTTAACTCTTCTCTAATGTGTATGCATAAGGGTGTGAGACAGTTGCTGACTGCAGCAATAAACAGATGTGGTTCTGATACCTACTGAGCTTGGCCCTCAGTTTCAAGTTAAGTGTTCCCTAGCCCAGCTACAGGCAGATCTTAAAAGGTGACCCTCCTACTATAAGCATAAGACCCCTGATTTAAGAAGGCAGTCTTGAATAGCATATAGGTTTGTGTATCTGTCCTTCCTACACAGGGGATAGAGAGAAACTGTTTGGCAGGAACAGCAGCCAACACAAGTGTTCCTGCAGCAGTAAGCAGATGTCGTCCTGACACCTACCACATTGGTGCTTCAGTTGCTATTCCAGGCTTGTGCTAGTCCACGGCTAAGTATCTGGCAATACTGCACAGCAGTCTCCTTGTGTGACTCATCTCTGCTTTTTCTAATTTAAGAAGGGTTATTTCCCACTCCTTAACATCTGAAGTCATTCTGATGAAGATCACAGAGTAACCACTCGTATAATGTACCTCATACATTTGCAGAAAGCATACAGCCATCTCCAGAGAGGACAACATAAGCATCACTGCATCATTTTCCTTCCTGCACAGTCCCAGTGCAATGGGCCCCACTCCTGTATCACATTTGATTCACCCCACTATTTTCACATTAGGCAATTAAAATTCCTGGTATGGTGGTTTTTGTCTTGTCTTATTGTTGTTTTTTAAAAATATTCAGAAGATTTTCCCTGTGTGATTAATAACAGGTTTTCTGTGCTGTATGCTGGAGGGTATTTTACAGTGGAACTCCTATTAATATTAACTACCTCCAGCTGTGTATGAGAAGCAAACAAACTATAGAGGAAGTGTGGCTGGGCAGAGGTAATTGCCAGAACAGAAGTAAGACTCATTTTTATCAAGAGTTGATATCAGCAGAAATGAGAAGCTAGATACAGGGGAAGCCTGAGATTTCAGTAGCATCAGATTGGGTCTTATACACTAATTAATGTTGAGAAGATGCCAGATGCCAGAGAACGCAACAGAAAAACAAGGACATTATGATGATGATGATGATTCAGCAAGAGAGCTCGTTTGTGACTGAGAAATGCCCAGGGTAGAAATGAGTTTCATTAATTGCTTGGTGGGAGAAGAGAGAAGGCCCCTGTTAGAGCATTGTCCCATGCACTCTCTGATCCCTGGAGAATGTTAAACAAACAATGCATTTGGAGAAGCCCACAGGACATATGTCTGGAAATCTGCAAAAGCTTCCTGCTATCCTTGGGGATAAAGGGGGGAGAGAGGAACTGAGCTGACATTTGCTCAACCTTCTGGTTTGTCTTTGTCTAACAATCTGTAATGCCTCACATTTCTCTGTTCACTTCAAAAATTCCTGTGGATTCCCTGCTCACATCCTTACCAGCTTAAATGATCCCATTTTAAATCTTCACCAAAGGAACAGTAACTGGGTCAGACTGTGAGTAGGTTAAGGTATATGTGCTAAGACAAACACTGGAGCAGCAGCCATGACAGTGAATTGGCATGGGTCGCGTGCACTGTGAGAAGAGACCAGAGGCAGCAAGAAAATTAAATGAAATTATATCTGTCTGCAGAATTCAGGGGCATGCATATGCACTGTGACTAATGACATAGTCCAGAGAAGTTAAATAAAAAGTAGAGCTAGCACTGTTACAACTTGTGAGAAAGCTACATATATAAGGATGACAAGATATTTGGATATAAGGCCAACTACACTTAGCTACCCTATGTATTGCTCCTTTACTCTTATGTATCTTTACATAGGAGTAAAGGAGCAATCCGGACCCCTCAGTCAGGTATCTGGGTAGCACAGTTCTGTTACCCACACACAGGTATTTTGTGCCATTCAGTATGCCTATGGGCAGGTCTTGGGATTCATTTGGAATGGCAGGGATACTTGCTTGGGCTCCAGTTGGTAGTCCAGTACAGACCTCCTACAAGCCTTGTATGTTATCTTGTAGACCCATGCAGATGTCCTGAACATCCAAGGGCAAATGATATTAGATAGTTATGTTTAGCTAAATGAATGAAACACACAGGTAACTGGAAGCTGAATCGCTCGCTGGGCTCCAATGACTATTTTGACTAGGGTCTCCCTTGAGCTAGTCATGCTAGAAGTCTGCTATTAAAGATGCCCTCCTCACTTCCATCTGCCACTGAAAGAGGATAGGTGTCTTCTAGTACCTCTGTCATACATGAGCAAATAAACTGAGACATAAATCTCCGTTGACGGTACAGGAATTTAGACCCATGGATTACATGACACCTATATGGAAACACCCAAACCTAGGAGTCAAGCTCAAACTAAATCCCACCCCATTTAACATAAATGTTAACAGATGCACAGATTTCTAACCAGTGTGTCTCTAAATACTGAAATAATATCAATGGTTGGATGGGCTCTCCATTGCTTGTAAATGTTTTAATGCTTTGTAAATGTTTTAAATGCTTTCTACAACATACACTCTGATTGAAAAACAGATTTGTTCAGAGGATTCCTATGCTAGAGGTTCTAATGCTGCTTCTTCACAGCTCCCCAACTGATGCAACTGTGAAAACACCCAACTTCCTCAAAAGCCATCCTTATTTTTGTTTCCAAACTTTCCCTTGTCTGGAGCCATCACTGTCATTGCTGCCACATTCCTAGCCACCTGCTCACACATGCTGCAGGTGGACATTGTGCTGAGGATGACCACAGACAGGTGAGGGCACTTCCAGCCACACGGTGTGGTTTTACCTGACTGGCACTTGGTTGAAGCACAGCTTTCTGTGGATTTGCCCAGTGTGACTCACCATGTTCCAGGATGTATTTCACAATCTCGCCATGCCCAGTCTTGGCAGCGTGGTGCAACAAGGAGCAGTGATCAGGTCCTTGGATTAACAAATTGGCTCCTTTTTTACAGCATTCTATGAACTGGAAAAAAACCCCACAACACAGCAGGATAAGATGGGAGGAGCAGAGAAACAAATATACAGGCAAATTGTTTACTAAATTTCATAGGTCAGTACAAAAACAGAATAAAATGAAATAAAATATTACTTTAGAGTCAGCTTTTAGGACCCAATGAAAAAATATCTGAAAATATAAGTATTGACAATTATATGGGTTAAGAAAAGCAGTTTGTGTTTCCTAAAGAATGAGACATTGCTAATATACTGGCAATGAGTTATCGCTTGCTAGCAATGCTTGCAAAACCATTTCTGGTGAAGCTGTTGGGATATTTAAAAATATATGTATTTGACAGAAAATTCTTGTTTCTCTACTGAAAATTCCAATTTTCCCTTAGCACAGGAGGCAAACATTTTCTGACTAAACTAGAAAACTCTGATTCAAAAATCCACAGGCAGGTGGGGTTCAACTGCCCCAGATCTCCATTCTCAGACTCTGCCCCCTGGCCAGGGCTGGCAGAGGGAGAAGGAAGCACTACATGGGGTAGGAATGGAGAGGAAACAGCAACCAGCCAGGTCTCAGAACTACTGCAAACTCTGGAGGGGTTTGCAGTGTAGATAACTGCAGAAAAGAGGGAGAGGATTGTGACAGCGGAGCATCATTTATAATGCAGTACATCTGAAGAAGGGCAAGAAGTTTCCCTGTCAGTGCAAACTCAGGCAAAATGTTTTCAAGAAGTAGAAAGGGGACAATATTTTTTATGACTGCTGGTTGAAGGACTGCTCCCTAGATGCTGCAGCGGCAAGTGTAGGAGTGGAGGTGTAGAAGGGGCACCTGCAGGAAAAGTTTTGGCCTAACAGTGCTGTCATTTTTACAAATGGCTCCAGGCTGGCTTCTCACAGATAAAATTACAATCATTAATCATGGTTCTCATCCATATTCGAGGTCATGTTTTCATATCTTGGCTTGGCTACTGAAAAAGGCAGCCTCAGACTTTGGGCACAAAACATTTTTGGACAGGTGCATTTTCCTCCCAATAGCTAACAATACCAAGACATTACACATTTTGAGACATCCATCAGTCAATAAAACAACAAGCTGAGGTTTGTTTCACCTTGTCTGGTGGTTGCCTAGGTAGAAGTTAAGAAGTCTCTAGCAACTCCTGGGGCTTGGCCACCAACCTCACTGCCGTAAAATATCCTTTACTATGTCAGGCTGTCTCAGAACTACCCTGCTGTTCAGTGTTCCATCTGTCAATATAGTAATTTCCCCTGTTAGTAACTGACACATTGCTCTGTGCAACACACTACGAATCCTGGGCTGAAAGGTGCTGTCTAACACCAGATCCTATTCACTTGAATTTCACACCTCACCTGACTGATGTGTTCCCCTAATATTCAGGGTTTCCTGGAAAGGCTGTAAAATGTCACTTGCCAGCAGACCCTACAGCAGCCTATTTATGTTTTGAGCAGAGGTGTGATAAAATTTACAGTATATCAGACCTGCAAGAAGCAGTGAAAAATGGACACTTGTTGCTCTGTACTTACCTTAAGCAGATCACCAGCTATGACTGCCTGTAAAAGTGCTGCAAAAGACAAACAAAACTGATGTTAGGCAGAAAGCATTCCACATATAGCCTCACAGCTGAGAACATAGCCCACAGTTTGGGCAAGTTAATACCAATGCCTCAAACCACTTGCATTCTCATATCCTACCAAAACCAATGCAAACCCTGCCCTGGCAGGCAGACGGAAGGCTGCCCATGTTGCACAAAAGCTGTAGGGACATCAAACCAGCCTTTCCATTGCTGCCCTGGAACTACATGTTTCAAAGTGAATTTTTGACTTGAGACACTTCAGGGACCTTTCAACAGTGTCCACAGGGTGGACCCAAGTCTCTGGCACCTCAGCCATCACCAAAGACATCAACGTCATAAACACAGAGAACCCAAAAGTATCCTCAGACCTCTCAGACTTTATTCATACTGATGGTGGAGTGGTCAGTCAGTCTCAAATACATTGAGAGTCTCAAGCTGCAGATGATTAGGTGGCAAAATAGAAATTTCTTAATAATTATTTGCATTACAAAAACATTTTGACATGCCAGTGGACAGCAAGACTCCCTGGGTTTGGCAGGCAGGGTCAAACACAGAACAGGAGCCTGTCTCCTCCTTTTTAGCCCCTGTAATTAAAACAGACACAGAAGGAAAGAGAAACAAAAACAGACAAAGTGAACAAAGTCTCACAGGAAGACAGGGCAGAGCTTTGCACAGAGCAAGGAACTGCTTCCTACCTGCTTCTGTCTGCCCCGCACCTATTAAAAAGAAGGAAGGCAAAAGCCTGGGACACAGTATTGCCCTATGTATAGGCAATATTCAGCTAAAAACACCATGATGGCAAGTAACCACAAACATGAGAAGTTGTTACAAACCTACTGCAATGAGGCTATTTCCTCCTTTTTTTCTCCTTCTCCCTATCATGATATATATGATAAAAAACAATTACGAATAATCTTTCTGAGAAAGCACTTACCTGGTTTGCATCTTGGAAAGCTTTAAACATCTGTCTCAGTTCATACTTTTTCAAGAGTGCCTAAGCCCATTTCTATTTTCGAGTCTAGGCAGCACAATCAAGTTAAGCATTTGCTCAAGTGCCATCCTTGATAAAGATGCCAAAAGCTCATGTGGGGAGGAACAAGGGCGAAAGCAAGCCATAGCATATATAGACTTGCCTCTGACAAATAACACATAGGAAACTGCACAGTGTGAATTCCACAAGGGGCTTGTTACAGCTTCAAAAATGACAACACATCCAAGCTAAACACTGCAGAAGAGGAAAGGTGTGCAAAGAAAACCCAACAAATGTCCTTTTCTTTGAAAACACCTGGGGTTGTGGGTGGCTTTCCGGTCTCTGCAATGCCTCATGCCCTGGTTATGCAGCAGAGGGAAAAGCAAAAACCCAGTCCAGCTAAGTTCTGACTTGGGAAAGCAGTATCAGCAATAAATGCTACATTAGATTTAGGGCAGTTTTACAGTGACCATGAGTTAAACTAAGTCCTGCATCTGTGCCAGTCCCCCTGGCACCTGTGGGAGTGAGGGCACACAGATCCAAGGAATGGAAAAAGACGAACATCAGCAGGTAAGAGCTAGAACTGGAAAAATACATGCATATCTTTTCTTCAGATTTCATTTTCAGTGTTTTACATCCTTCTTTTTTTCCCAATAGTTCTAATACTGGGTCACCCCAAATTAACAGCAGAGCAGAATTTAGTCCTTATGTCATCCATTTTATCTTTTTCCTCCTTTTTCAACAGTCTGGTCTCACTGCTACATTTATTCTGTGGACTACTGCAGTCTGTACTTGTATAAATATTTTGCTCTCTTCACACATTCAAAAATCAAATGAACCTGTGACACCAGCTTTTCATTACTTTCTACATCTAATATTTTAAGACATGTCTTCCCTGAAGTTACTTCCCAAGAGGCAGAAACCCATTTTCTTACTCAAACCATGCTTAAGACTATGGTTCAGAAAAGCCAGAAGACAGAACTAGAAAACTATGAAGTGGAAGGTATGGGATAGATGAGTGGACGGTGAAGTGGATGGAGAACTGGGTGACTGGCAGAGCTCAGAAGGTTGTGATTAGCAGCGTAGAATCTAGCGGTATCCCCCAGGGGTCGGTACTGGGTCCGATCTTGT